CACTCCTTTCCCCCAGGGTAAACAGGACACAGGGGAATCTTTTGTGATGATGTTTATAAAATACCCAACACCACGGTTTCCCAGGGTACTGCTGGGACACAGTTATTCACCAGGAAAGGAGGAGGAAAGAAAGGAGGAGGGAAGGAAGAAGAAGGAAAGAAAGGAGGAGGAAAGAAAGGAGGAGGAAAGGAAGAAATAAAGGAGGAGGAAAGAAAGGAGGAGGAAAGAAAGGAGGAGGAAAGGAAGAAATAAAGGAGGAGGAAAGAAAGAAGGAGGAAAGAAAGAAGGAAAGAAAGAAGGAAAGAAAGAAGGAGGAAAGAAAAAAGAAGGAAAGAAAGAAGGAGGAAGAAAGAAGGAAAGAAAGAAGGAGGAAAGAAAGAAGAAAGAAGGAAAGAAAGAAGGAGGAAAGAAAGGAGAAAGCAGGAAAGAAAGGAGGAGAAAAGAAAGAAGAAGGAAAGAAGAAGGAAAGAAAGGAAGAAGAAGAAAGGAGGAAAGAAAGGAGGAGGGAAGGAAGAAGAAGGAAAGAAAGGAGGAGGAAAGAAAGGAGGAGGAAAGGAAGAAATAAAGGAGGAGGAAAGAAAGGAGGAGGAAAGAAAGAAGGAAAGAAAGAAGGAAAGAAAGAAGGAGGAAAGAAAAAAGAAGGAAAGAAAGAAGGAGGAAGAAAGAAGGAAAGAAAGAAGGAGGAAAGAAAGGAGAAAGAAGGAAAGAAAGGAGGAGAAAAGAAAGAAGAAGGAAAGAAGAAGGAAAGAAAGGAAGAAGAAGAAAGGAGGAAAGAAAGGAGGAAGAAAGAAAGAAGGAGAAAAGAAAGAAGAAGGAAAGAAAGGAGGAGGAAGGAAGAGTTGAAACTAAGACATTCCAAGTTGCTCACTCCTGGCCTCCCCAAACTGTAAGTGGAGTTTAAAGGCAGCTGCACATTATGTGTAGGCAGAAAGAATAAAATAAGTAATAAAACAAGCAAAACAACTTTTAAGTTACACATTTCTTACACCCTGACCATACAAGCACATTTTTCTTCCAGAGTTCCTTGCAATTAGCAGAG